CCGGGCGAAGTTTGCAGCCCGCTCCGTCCCTTTACCGGAGGGGCCTTGACGCCTACCGAGTCCGAGGAGCAAAGGCTGCAACTGCGAGACCTCGGCCCCTGACCGAGCTCCGCGCCCTCTCTCCCTGGGCGGCAGCGCTTTGTTGGTTCGACTCGGTTCGGTTTGGCTTGGGTTTGGATTTTTCCATTCCTCAAATGACGACCGGCATACTGGTTTGCTTGAAGTTTATCTGAAATATTCAAAAAGATGATTCGATTTAGATTAGATTTCTCTGCTCACAAATGAGAGATACATGCAGCTGTTCAAAAAAGATAATACGCAGACAGGTTTGCTGCTCATGCCGGTAATCGCAGTGCCCGGGAGGCTGAGGCAGAAGGATCAAAAGTTCCTTCATCCTGCCTGGACAACCTACAACCTAGGGGGTCGCTGTCTCAAAAGAAAAAGGCCCGGAATGTTGCTCACAGCAGAAGCCCTTGCTTAAACCCCACAGCTGCAAAAAAAAAAAAAAAAAAAAAAAAAGGAAAAAACGTCTCCAAAATGTTACCCAGTGGCTCCCCTGAAGAGGTTTCTGGAGGGGCTTCTCCACACCACGGTTGTCTTGGCTTTATTTGTAAGGCAGCTTTCCCCCGTGTAATCTGAAATTAACCTACTGTAGACTGATATCCACAGGACCATAGGAATTATTTATACAGCAAAGCAGTTTGGGCTTTCAGTTACTGAGACACAAAAGTAAAGAGAAATGGAAATGCCCGAGACGTGCTCCACAGCCCACGTCCATTTTCGTGGCTATCTCTGACCTCCCTCACCTCACTCACACGTGTTGTCTACTACAGGTGCCATGTTACTTTATGTTTGCGTGGATGAAGAGTGATCCGTGCCAATAAATGATAACTTTCAAAAAGTAGCAGCGGCTTGGAACAGCCACAAAACCAAAAGCTGAATCTGAGAAAGCAAAGCAGTATTACCCAGTAGGGTAACCGCTTGGGAGGGGACAACTGACTTCTCTGGAAGTGATCTCACAGAACGATCTGCCTCCCTTAGAACGGCCTGTGAGCGTCCGTCGGAGCACCCCATGTGAATACAGGACTCCCTCCCTTCAGACGCGTGTGTCTTGAGAACATCCAAGCAGTTCCACACACACCTGATTGGAAATCCCCGTAGAGTAAGTGACCGAGTACTGAACTGGATAAGACGTGGATTCACTGACATTGAAGTCCGTGTATTGCGTGTCACACTGTTGGGACAGTTCTGGCATGTGGCTCGGGGTCCCGGTGCATTCAGGTTTAATTCGTATCCTCTCCCGTGGACAGTGTGTAGCACAGCCACAACGACCCACCTGACTGGTGTCCACAGAGTGGTGAAGTGCTGATTAATATAAATGGAGGTTGGATAGGATTACTGACACCTGATTTCTCTTGTGTCAGATCATTCAGTTCGTGGGCAGTTCCACGTCTACCCAAACAGGGCTGGCCATCCTTAAATCAGAGAGCAGTTTCGGACCCAGAGGCTGGAGGCAGCGATAGACTCAGGAACAGTGCCCAGGGGGCCGGGCTGTAAGAGTCTGGAAAACCTTGTCGGCAGCAACATCTCAAACAAAAGCATGCTCCTTGGCTGAAGGCGGAGCTGTTTTCTCAGATTCCACCCCCAGCTTCCCTGCAAAGCTCTGGATGGAGAATTACAAGATCTGGTGTTTTCTGAGAAGCAAATTCACATTCTTAAATTTTTTTTTAATTTTAAATGATAATAATTAAGTCCTTTAAAGTAAAACTCAGATGGGCAGGCCAAAATAAAGGATAGGTAAGTAAATAAATAGGTGACTGACTGATAGGTAGATGGTAGGTACACAGATGACGGGTAAATCATGGAGAAGCTATTCCAACACTCCCAGTGGATGCCTGAAACCAGGAGTAATGCTAACCCTCTAATGCTGGTTCTTCCTATGTATGGATACCTATGTTTTTCCTATATATGGATTTCCTATGCATGGATACCTAAAAGTTTAATTTTCAAATAGGCACGATGTAAAGTTAAAATTAATAATAATAAACAATATACCATAACATAATAACGGGTGAATGTGCTCTCTGTAAACATCGTATTTTACTATTCTCACCCGTCTCATGACAGGATGCACTTTGTGGCTTCTCCTTGCCTTTTCTGAACTACCAGTGTCCTTACTTCTGCCTCTGGGGGTCATTAACAAGTAAAATAAGGGTTGCATGAACCCAAGCACTGCAATACCTCAGCAATGAAACAACCAAAATGGCTTCCAAGCAGTTAATGGGCTGGACACATCACAGACACATGATTCACATCCAAGTCCCTGAGAACGGGGAGAATGCTGCAGATAGGTAGGTGGGTAGATAGGTAAACAGATGCTAGATGATGGATGATTGGCAGACAGGGCCAGTCCGTGTGCCTCCAATACTGTAGCTTCTAGTTTAGAATATGATGTTTGATAAATGTCCCAAAGTTTCTAAAACATGGCTCAACTGCCATTCCCCAGTGCACAGAAACATAGAAGACCGTCATCAGAGACTGCCGAACGCGTCACCTTCCATTAGTGCAGCAAATACCTGAGATAATGAAGTGAAAAGGTTTATTTCAGCTCACAGTTTGGAAGTTTCAGTCCATAGTCAGATGGCCAGATTGTTCTGGGGACCTGCAGTAAGAAAGCACAGAATCACAGAATGTAAGAGGAAGAGCAAGCCTGTTTACCACACAGTGGTTTAGCTAAAGACAAAGACTGGGGCTCTAATATTCCTTTTTAAAACAAACCCACAGGGACCAGAAGACTACAGTAGCAGACCTTTTGAGTAACTGAATAATTCTGATATTTTAGAAAGCTGGGATGAACAAATTTCAGAGAAGCTCTTCATTCAGTGAGGAAAAAGTTCAGTAACTTTAGTAGAGGTTTGAATATGATGAATGCTGATCAGGTAAAGTAAATCTATTGTGGGTTTCCTTCAGTCTAAATTTATTTTGAGAACACAGAAGCTTGCTCAGGTGAAAATAATTTCATTGATATTTTTGAGTATAAAAGTAATGCATTACCATAATAAAAAGTTACAGACAAAAAAAGAGCAAAAGCCGGACATGGTGGCGCATGCCTGTAATCCCAGCACTCTGGAGGCTGAGGCAGGAGGATCGCTGTGAGTTCAAGACCAGCCTGGGCTATATAGTGAGTTCCAGGTCAGTCTCAACTACATAGTGAGACCCTCTCTCA